CAAATTTATGTGTTGACGGGTAATGACAGAAGCGCTAGAATCCGTATTGTTATGCGTTGACGGGTAATGACAGTTGCGACAAGATTCTATATTTTTTTAAGAGTAATGCCGAAAGCGGCAATATTTCATTTTTTTATTGACGGTTTGCGAAGGAAGCGACAAGATTCTGTATTGTTTTGACAGAAGCGATTAGATTCAATATTGTTTTGTGTTGACGGACGAAGACATAAGCGACAAGATTCAATATTGTTTTGTGTTGACGGACAATGACATAAGCGACAAGATTCCATTTTGTTTTGTGTTGTAGAGTTATGATGGAAGAAAAAAGATTCCAGTTTGTTATGTATTGACGGGTTATGACAGAAGATAAATATACTAAACATGAAAATAATCACGATAAAGAGTGAAACCCAGATTTGATACAGCTTGGAAAGGCAGTAAGAAGTCTTGACAAAGGTTTGGTTAAACAGTCAAAGGAGCCAGTAGTAAAACGTTGATTTTTACGAATTTCTGTTTCAATAAATACATGACCAAAGCACTCATGAAAACGTACAACGATAATAAGACCAGTTGTTCTGAAAGGGTAAGCGTCTTCTGCTTCATCGACGACATCTTGGTCAATCCAGGTAAATAATAATATATTCCAGAATGACATCAAGGTCAACAATACTGACGAGTATCAAACTAGTCCAAGTTCATATCAAAAGTAATAATAATAAATTTAAAAAAATAAATAAAATAAAATACTTCCCAAAGATAGCATTGTGTAAGATTTTCATAATCTTCAACCTGCATCTCTTGAAGTCCTGTGTTTTGAGTTTGTCCTGTAAGTTGAAGACATCTTGCACGAAAATTATGTATGGGAACAAGCCCAGGAATATAGAATTGTGACATATTAACACATTAGATTAATTAAATTATTGAGCAATAGTAGTAATCAAACACGCTTTTGTATTTGTGAAAAAGGCATACGTTCAAGTATCTAACACATCTAACTTCATCCGCAAAAGGGGGATTTTCCTAATATAAGGGGTCATGTTCTTAAATTTTTTTTGGCGTAGGGTTCAAGATTGATTAAATACTTCTTTGGAGTTAATCAAATTCCACATTACATTAATTCCACTTCCCAGGTACAGTAACACGATAACATTGGAACTTTCTTAGTTCCTAAAGTGAAAATTAAAATAAGATAAATGTCTAACTGAACAACTAGGCGAACCATCAATGAAATGTATGGATTCTTTTGAGGTATAGGAATCCAATACAAATGAGAAAGGTCCAAACCCTTAGCATTAACTGGTTACTTTTTGGGGACAAATTTGTATCTTCCAAACTTTGCCATGCTTCATTCCTGTGAAATATCATAATTTAAGGCTAATTTGTTAATTTGAAGAGGTTGTTCGAGTATTATCACACAATTGATCTGTGGCACGTGTTAAGCTAGTTTATTCCAGTCAAACAGACACGTTTCATCCCAGAAATCTAACAGCTAATGACTCTAGAATAACTCTGAGCACTCCCACAGAAGAAGACGGATTTCAAAAGAATTCCTTTTTTCCATTATAGTGCCCCAACTCTCCTGACCCAGAAGGTTAGGATCCACTGTTTATACAAAATTGAGTTCCCTTCACACTAGGATCCTTCAGACCAAATTGGGACAATCCTGACATTCTACACTACATGAAAAGAAGGAATTGAAATAATTTGCTCACTTTCCCCTTCTGGACCCCACCGTTTCTGCGCAATAACCATTTATGCAAAATTGATTCCTCTTTACCCAAGGTGCTTCAGACCAATTGGGACAGAATCCTGGTATTCCCACAGAAGGAAGAAGGATTATAAAGAATTTGCAAAGTTTTCACTTTTGAACCCAATCTCTCCTGCCCCAAGATGCTAAGACCAATTGTTGGTACAAAAAGTCCTCTTCAACTAAGGTTGCCTCAGACTAAATTGGGACAGAATCTAGGCATTTCTGCAAAAGACGGATTCAAGGATTGCCACTATTTCCCTTTTTGGTCCCTGTCCCTCCTGCTACAAGGGGATGAGACCCACTGCTTATTCCAAATTGACTCCTCTTAAATCAAGTATGCTCCAAGAAAAATATTTGACAGAATCAAAGCATTCCTATGGAAGAAGAGATTTTTTTTTACAGAAATTGCTCTATTTTTCCTTTTTGGGCCCTGCCCCTCAGTCCTTAATGGAGTCAGACCCGTCATTTGAAAAATTAAGTCCTCTTTCACCGAGGATGCTCCAGACCAACTTTGGTCAGAATCTGCTTGGCCATTCCTGAATAGTAGTGTTTTAAAGAAATTGCTGACAGGACAAACTGTATGGAGGATATCATCATGTGACCTTTTGGAACCAAGCGTTTTGTTATGATTTCTAAATTTTCTAATGTCGCATTGTGTCACACTAACTCTCTCCAAACAGTAATGATATGCATTAGTGTCGGATCACTCCTATTTGAAGTTTTGAAATCTTTATCAAAATTATTTTGCACACTTTTAAATATTATAATTAACAGAAAGTGACCAACTTTCAACAGATATTTAAATGTTATCAGTTATCAGTCTCTTTAAAATATATTTGAGAAGCATCATTTTCAACATATTTTCTGCAGTTTGAAAAAAATCAAAGGAAATATTCAAAATTGTCTGCATTGCAAACAGAAAACATTTAACAAGGAAGTGAAGACATCAAATTCCTTAGAATGACAAACTGCATAGAACACAGGAAAACATTGGAAAATGAAAATTTCAAATACCCATGTATCATATGAAGAGAAAAGTCCCATAGATTATACTAATGATTCTATACTAATGATATAACAGCATGAGTTTTGTAAGATCAAGTTCTTGTATGAGGGTCGTAACTCAAGAATTTGAGGTATGACATCATGGTGGCCATATTGGATATTTATTGAATTTAACACCTTCATACATTGAAGAAGAAAAAGCTATTCCAACAGTGTGTATTACCATAGAAAGACCTCGGTGGAAAAAACTAGTATAACATATTTTTACTATTCCAATCAGTTCAAAGAGACCACAGGAAACAAAATATATCATATGAGATTTACGAATGATCCAGTGCTTCTCTAGAAATTGAAATAACAATAATTGGTTAAAGATGGATGATGGGCAATGGACTAGAGTGACTTGAATGGCCTGCTATCTTATGATATAATATTGATGTAGAAGAGACACCGCTGCATATGAAGCTCACGTCAGATCCAAGCTAATTGAGCTAAAGACAGGAACAGAAAACAAAAGACATTTTCTTGTTTATCTATCTGATATTTTAATACTTTTTATTTTGCTGAAGTGTAATATAGTATTGTGATATTGAATATTTACACTACTTGAACGTATTGAAATGTAGAGCACAATCTACACCATCACTTGTGGAGGGCTGACAGGAACAATGGGTAACTAACCTGTGTGGCTATGACACAAAATGAGACTGCAGGATAAAAAAAACTCCCACATCGACATTTCTTATACCATATAGCTGGTTATTTTACCAGGAGTGATATTTTTTACCATTTAACCGTACATAAGCCTGACTGTGAAAATAAAGACATATGTCTACGAGATGTTCTTTTACATCTGGATGGTGAAATTTCCATGTGTTCAAATATAATTTGACCACTTTATCAGAAATTCATAAAAATTTAAACCTTTTAACATTACTAGCTATATGGTAATAATGATGAAGTAATATTAATTTCAAAATCAAAAGAAAAATATATGTAATGTCATCACTTTTTATAAAAATGTTTCATTGTAGTCATCTTAAATGCTTTAAATTGAAACTAAAACATACATTTCCATATAAGTTCACTGATGAGACAAATTGGCCATCGGTCACAAAACATAGGAATTTGTCAAATATCCTCAACCCCACTGCTAACATATATGTTTAACAAGCACTGATAAACATATCTCATTTTACAGAAACTGGGATTGTAAATTTTTGGCAAGTTCCTGTGATTCAAAATAAACCTTTAGGAGAAATCTGTAATGAAATTCAAGACCTATACACTCTCAAACTGACACTCATATACACATGCACATACCTATATACATTGTAGTCTTTCATTCATTTTTAAATGTGAATAACAAAGCTCAAAATGACACAGCATTGCATGTATATTAATTCCAATTCTGCCGCCTAAACGAAAAAAAGTAATCTGGTAAACACCACCATATGTTTGTTGGTTGAAGCAGCTTAAATCTCAACTTCCTCTAAAACACTAATCAGTTCATAACTGTGTACAGTATTAAAATACTTTAAAACATCCTCATTTCTCACTGTAATAAATAAAACAGCACATCAGATTTATCTTAAAAGTACATATATTTTACCTTAAATAGCACTTAAACATTGCACTGTCCCTTCTATCATTTCTTTTAAACATTGATTTCATTATGGATTTTGTAAGAACTAAAAAGGATTACTTCACCAACAACAAATTATAACCCATCCAAAGAAACAGAACATCAGGTCCCTATCAATACTTATAACCCTTAGAAATACCACACCAGTAATACAGGACAACAAATCTGTTAGCAGTCTAGTCAATCAATCTGCTAGCCAAAGAAACTGAGTGCGAATGTTCCAAAGAAATAAAAGATTATTCATATAGCTGCCCACAGAACTTTTTATTTTACTTTTAATGTTTTATACACCATTCTGTCTTTTCCAGGATATAAAGATGGGGATCTTTTTTGTTGATGGAGAAAATCTTCATGACATTGGAAGTATTATCTATCTATTCTGGATAAGGATAAAAAAATGTATCCCCTGACCCCAAAACTATCTTATTTTTGTCATTGATTTTAAGCAGATATTTCAATCTCCAAATTCACTTTTGTAATTTAAAATTATCTCTTTCCAAAAAAAATTTTTTTTTGACACATTTGATGTTACACATTCTTTATGTACAAAACATTTTTTTCCATATAATATCAAAACAACTATTTATACTAATAGGTGAATGGTTATAAAAATAGAAATTTGTAATATATTACAACAATGTAGCCTTATATACATATAAACACAAATATTTACAGACTGGTCAATATCAAAATACCAATGAACCTCATGGTATAATAATTTTTTAAACATGTTTGGGAAGGAGACAAATAAATATATATTGTGAATGCAAATTCTGAAGAAAAAAAAAATAATGTTGCCATCAAATTTTTTTTTCTGAATTCCAATCCTTTCAAATTTATTGTTCAATAATAATGTACATGAAATTATGTGGCCCAAGGTAGGAAATTAAAATCCGTCTCACCGTGGCCCAAGGTAGGAAATTAAAATCCATCTCACCGTGGCCCAAGGTAGGAAATTAAAATCCACCTTGCCGTGGCCCAAGGTAGGAGTTAAAATCCATCTCACCGTGGCCCAAGGTAGGAAATTTAAATCCATCTCACCGTGGCCCAAGGTAGGAGTTAAAATCCATCTCACCGTGGCCCAAGGTAGGAGTTAAAATCTTTCTCACCGTGGCCCAAGGTAGGAGTTAAAATCCATCTCACCGTGGCCCAAGGTAGGAAATTAAAATCCATCTCACCGTGGCCCAAGGTAGGAAATTAAAATCCATCTCACCATGGCCCAAGGTAGGAGTTAAAATCCATCTCACCGTGGCCCAAGGTAGGAGTTAAAATCTTTCTCACCGTGGCCCAAGGTAGGAGTTAAAATCTTTCTCACCGTGGCCCAAGAGAGGAGTTTAAAATCTATCTCAATAATTAACTACACACCTTGGCCCAAGGTAGGAGTTTAAAATCTATCTCACCTTGTCCCAAGGTAGAAGTTTAAAATCTATCTCAATAATTAACTACACCGTCAATGTTTGCAGGTCTATAGTTATCTGATCACCAGTCAGTACATTCTATTAATGTTATCATTCAGGAGCAAGTTATTTTCGGAATAACACTGTTACTTCTCTACCATAGGTACCATGCAAGATATTTTGCATGCTTACTTTAAAAAAAATTAACAAGAATATTTAATCTCAAATTCAAATTTTGTCACACTTCAAAAAATAATTGACATTAAAAAAAAAACAAAAAAAAAAGGCTTAAGTTATCTATCAATTAAGAATGTAAAAAATAAACAATCAACATGTGTATTGTTTATAAGACAACACAGTTAACCATAACAAACAACTGTTGTAAGAGATGGTTTACAACTATTTGTACACATAACAATGTATTTTTTTTTCATGAAACAACGCATATCAAACAAAGGTTTTGATGTAATATACATTACAATGGTATTCAAAGTATCTGACCTTAGTCTCCACAAATTTCTGACCTTAAGGAACTTCTTCCACTCTAATGCCTCTCCACATGAAACTCTTACTACATCTCAAAAATAATGAAATTTTTTAAAAAAAATTGTATTGTGCTTTCCTATACACGAAATTAAAAACGTATGAAATTCGAAGAAATTTCCTAAAGAAAATGATTGAAAATCTGCGAGTTCAACATTATTCTCATTCAGTAACAACAATTATGACCAGAGACTATATTCATGATAATCGTCCCAAGCACTCTACTTCTCTTTGACACGTTACAGAACTTTTTTCTTTCTTTTTTTTTCTCTCTCAGTATAAACATAATATATAAATATACATGCAAATAGGTGGCATATCTTTGGTGGTGGCCAAAGCAAACAAGAAATATCACCATACACTAAAATACCAAGCTGAATATATCTGGAGATCTTGTCTTGTATCCATAAAATCCAGTGAACTGAAGAAAGTTCTCTCACAAAAAAAAAAAAACATGCTGAAGAATGCTCTTAGCATAAAAAGTATCCTCTTCCAACTTATTAACTCCCTTTAATAATGCATCATGAAACAACTTAAACAACAAAGAGAAAAAAATATAACAACAAATTCTTGCAGATAAATCACATTTCCAAACCTGCACCTTGTACAGGTAATGTAAAAATCTTTTCCCCTGCTGAAGTGACAGTCAATCTAGAAGTCTCAGAACACCAGTAAGCTTTATCAAATAACCTGCCTGAAATGGTCTTTAAAGGTTAAAGGTATGTATATGGGCAACTTCAGATTATCCTGGCTCATGGTAGTAGTACAACTGACAGCATGAATGTATTAGACCTGACAGTGTTATAGCCAGAATACTGCATGTTTTTGTACATGTCTCTCGTTTCCTGTAACACATGTCCTAACAATTTACCTGTAACACATGTCCCTACAGTTTACCAGTAACACATGTCCCCACAGTTTATCTGTTCACATGTCCCAACAATTTACCTGTACACATCCCTATAGTCTACCTGTACACATGTCCCTATAGTCTACCTGTACACATGTCCCTATAGTCTACATGTAACACATCCCAATAGTCTACCTGTACACATGTACCTACAGTAAATCTGTACAAGAGTCCATACATTTTACCTGTACTCATGTCCCAACAGTTTACCCTTACTCATGTCCCTACATTTTAACTTTGCTCGTGTTCCTACAGTTAACCTGTACACATGTCCCTACATTTTACCTTTGCTCTTGTTCCTACAGTTAACCTGTACTCATGTCCCAACAGTTTACCCTTACTCATGTCCCTACATTTTACCTTTGCTCGTGTTCCTACAGTTAACCTGTACACATGTCCCTACATTTTACCTTTGCTCTTGTTCCTACAGTTAACCTGTACATGTGTCCCTAAAGTTTACAAGTACACATGTCCTTATGTTCACATACAATAATCTAGGGTGCACCTGTATCTTAGATTTTATGGAACATATTTCCAAAAAAACATACATCATTTTTATGATTATTCATTACAAACATCAAATACTTTCAGCGCACATCAACTCATATTAAATGGTTTAATTCTTCAATTCTTATACAACAATGATTTCTTGCGGAAGTTTACAACGTGAAGATAACATGTAACAAGCAATCATTTTTAACACGCATTTATAAAAACATTTCTCTTATCAGGTAACAACACACTACAAAACACTGCACCTCGTGTTTGATTATCTCAGTATTCACTTCTAACTTCCTTTTCACATCTGAACTTATTCTTACAGCACGCTTACTGGAATAAGAGTGGTTCTACAAACTTGCTCTGTGTCAAAATTGCCGTTGTAGGAAACTTTCAGGACAGATAAAACCTCTGTCTACCAGAAATCACGGTGTGGCATTATGGTTATTGTGAGTCAAATGGATATATGAAAATTCTGAATTTACAAAGTAGATCACAAATCATCGGTGTCATCCATTTGGTTGGGACTGACCGGTGACGAGGATAACATGGGATCTATTCCCAAAGGGGAGGTATCGTCCATTAAATCGTCCAGTAAACTATTTGTGTGACTTAGTGTTTCTACAGGGGCCACAGTAACAGCAGGTGACAGGCTTTGCGTGTTGGTCAGAGTCATTGTGATATTTTGCTGCTGTTGAATCTGGTTGGATGCATTGCTTTGCATTATAAAATTGTCTATGTCATCCTGCATGCCACTGTTAAGACCATGTGCTTGCATGAGTAGCTCCAATTGCTGCAGAAAAACGAAAAACTCATCTTAACATAAAAGATTGTGTATCCATAATCATTTTCCATCACTCTTAATCAAAATCTCTAATACTACTGTAAAATTCTTCATCATTCTACATTAATATATTTTAATTACTACTGTAAATTCTTAATCAACATATCTTCATTACTACTGTAAAATTTTTCATCGCTCTCAATCGATATATTTTAATTAATTCTGTAAAATCATCCATTTTTATAAAATGGTATTTTAATCTATAAGAATTTATATTCAGAAAACGGAAAAAAATGGTTGCAAAATCTTATGCTTGCATGCTTTTCAAACATTAAGCTTTTAAAATCTACAACTAATTATGGAGCAGTGAAACTTTGTGAGGCTACCAAACAAATTCAGGGAATAATTGTGAATAAGTCATTTCATCTAGAAGGATTTTAGAATTTTTTCCTTACTTGAATGCGGAGAAGCATCTTTCTGTTAGTTTGTTCCAATCCGCGCTGCCGTTCTTCCAGCTGTCTATTCCTTTCTTGGTCTTTCTTCAACCTCCTGATGTAATCCACCGACGCCTTAAGGATAGTGCCTTTATTTTGACGCAGGTCCCTGGTTACAGATAAAACACACATATCTCAAACTACAATCACATGCTAACAAAAAAAGATAGATCCAAGTCTTCTGACAAATGGAATTTTACCCAGAAGACAAAAACATATACAGTCATTGTCTTTTTTTTTTTTTTATCAAACTCATTCTTTCTATCAAAATGCAACTTTCTGAATTTTCAATATAAAAAACAACTTTTAAAATGCAGTAAATAGCTCATAGGTATTTTTCACAGACAGAAAAAGGAAACGTGATTAACTTGATAAAACTATGTATGATATCTTCCATAATTAATCTGCAACAGCCCAGAGAGAAGACAGAAACTCGAGCTTAAAGTTAGAGGTGGGCTTATTACAGGAATGTCATATTATCTGCTGGGAATTTCTTTTGCGAGTACAATACATATATTGGTGGGATTATTGACAGATAAGTATGGTATATTGTATTTTCTGTAAAATGTTTATGATACGAAAAGATAAATCACAGAATAACAATGTGCTTTGTTGTAAACAGAGTCAGTCACCAAACAAACAATGACCTTAACAATGATAAACAACCTTGCTAAATATTTATATTGTGATGGGTGAGGGGAGGGAGGGGGTCATTAGAGTGATTATGATCAATAAACAGCCGTTATTCAAACAAAGGTTATTAATTTGTCTACATTCTACTCTATCTGTAATGCTTCACAGTAATGAAAATTCAATAAGGCCATACTCCACTCGTTCTTGATTTTAACATTTTCGAGAGGTTTCAAGAAATCTATTTAAAATCATTTTTCGATCCCATGCTAATATTATATATATATATATATATATCATAACTGGTTTGTTTGTTTATTCCAGGTGAACTAGAGATCACCTGTATATTGAGTGACTACTGGTGATTACGTCCAGCTGTGTCACAGCTCTAATATAGGTAATCCTGGTCAAAGGGTCAATGACACAGATGGGATGGTCATCAGAGCATATCAATCAGACAAACAACAAATTGAGAAAACACAGCCATCTCTGCTTAGCTAGTTCAAAAATTGACAAAGAGATCTAAAGTTCAAACCTGATATCTGAATATTTATTAAATTGTTCCAGTCTACCTAGCTGTAGAGGTATGTGTCAGCAAGTGGGGAAGTAAATCTGAGAAAACAAAAGCCCTCTTAAAGAAGAAAACAATCTCGTTTTACCAATACCAATACTGGGTCTTTGATGGGCTGATCTGTGAGCCAGTATGAAAATTTTGATGAGCCGTTAGGTGAGCCTGTATACAAATTACAACAAAGTAATGAGAATATATGTCAAGTCAACTTACGGATCAAGTGTCTTGGGTAGCAGGGTCCCAAGCTCTTTTATTCTGTCATTTATGTTAAACCGTCTTCTTCTCTCAACTGAAGAAAAGAATGTTTGCATTAAATTTAAATTTTCATTTGAATCCTGCAAACAGACATAACTTTTAACAGGTATCACAACATTAATTTTTACTGTATAAGAAAAACGTGTAAAATTCAACATTTCTTAAGAAATATACACTGTACAAAACAATGAAACTAACTCATATTGTGGTTGTCTTTTTTCTGTCTGTCTTTCTGCCATAAGCGGGATTCTTCCTCTGTCATAAACGGTGGTGTTTCTGCCCTTCTGAATGCTGCCGGACAGGAAGTAGAAGATTCGGCTGCCTTGTTTACCTCGTGCACTGTGCTTACCATATTAGACTGTGGAAGCTAGTGAAATGTAATAACGTGTTATTTCTCATAAAAAATCAACAGTTTAATTCAAGTTTATAGAAAATACTGAATTCACTTCATACTAAATTGTTGTTAATTAGATAAAAGTGAGAAAGATTTAGTGATAAAAAAAAATTTCAATTCAGGACATAAGTGTGAAAAAGGTTTTCTGTAGAGTGTATTTTGTGTGAAAAAAGACTAAATGGCAACAAGTGTGAGAATATATGACTGTAGGGCAATAAGTGTGAGAATATATGACTGTAGGGCAACAAGTGTGAGAATATATGACTGTAGGGCAACAAGTGTGAGAATATATGACTGTAGGGCAACAAGTGTGAGAATATATGACTGTAGGGCAACAAGTGTGAGAATATATGACTGTAGGGCAACAAGTGTGAGAATATATGACTGTAGGGCAAAAAGTGTGAGAATATATGACTGTAGGGCAACAAGTGTGAGAATATATGACTGTAGGGCAACAAGTGTGAGAATATATGACTGTAGGGCAACAAGTGTGAGAATATATGACTGTAGGGCAACAAGTGTGAGAATATATGACTGTAGGGCAACAAGTGTGAGAATATATGAATCAATCAGGAGGGCATCAATGAGATAAAGACTTGATTGGAGGGCATCAAGTGAGATAAAAACTTGATTGGAGGGCATCAAGTGAGATAAAGACTTGATTGGAGGGCATCAAAAGAGATAAATACTTGATTTGAGGGCATCGAGTAAGATAAAGACTTGATTGGAGGGCATCAAGTAAGATAAACACTTGATTGGAGGACATCAAAAGAGATAAATACTTGATTTGAGGGCATCGAGTAAGATAAAGACTTGATTGGAGGGCATCAAGGAGATAAAGACTTGATTGGAGGACATCAAGTGAGAGAAAGACTTGATTGGAGGGCATCAAGTGAGATAAAGACTTGATTGGAGGGCATAAAGTGAGATAAAAACTTGATTGGAGGGCATCAAGTGAGATAAAGACTTGATTGGAGGGCATCAAAAGAGATAAATACTTGATTTGAGGGCATCGAGTAAGATAAAGACTTGATTGGAGGGCATCAAGTAAGATAAACACTTGATTGGAGGGCATCAAAAGAGATAAATACTTGATTTGAGGGCATCGAGTAAGATAAAGACTTGATTGGAGGGCATCAATGAGATAAAGACTTGATTGGAGGACATCAAGTGAGATAAAGACTTGATTGGAGGGCATCAAGTGAGATAAAGACTTGATTGGAGGGCATCAAAAGAGATGAATACTTGATTTGAGGGCATCGAGTAAGATAAAGACTTGATTGGAGGGCATCAAAAGAGATAAATACTTGATTTGAGAGCATCGAGTAAGATAAAGACTTGATTGGAGGGCATCAAGTAAGCTAAACACTTGATTGGAGGGCATCAAAAGAGATAAATACTTGATTGGAGGGCATCGAGTAAGATAAATACTTGATTGGAGGGCATCGAGTAAGATAAACACTTGATTGGAGGGCATCGAGTAAGATAAACACTTGATTGGAGGGCATCAAGTAAGCTAAACACTTGATTGGAGGGCATCAAAAGAGATAAATACTTGATTGGAGGGCATCGAGTAAGATAAATACTTGATTGGAGGGCATCGAGTAAGATAAAGACTTGATTGGAGGGCACTTGATTGGAGGGCATCGAGTAAGATAAAGACTTGATTGGAGGGCATCAAGTAAGATAAGGACTTGATTGGAGGACATCAAGTGTGATACATTCATTATTATTACAATCTTACACATAAAAAGATCATTAGCATCATCAACTGGTGAAAAGTGTAATACAGACCCTTGAGGTCATGAAGTGTAAGAAAGATTGAGTACAGCAGTTAAGAAAAAGAAAGATTGTGAAGGGCACAAAGCCTTAACTTGGAGAACTACACATACTTTAGGAGGGTATGGAGTTGGTATTTCTTAAAAAAGAAAACACTAGATTTCCCAGGTTGGAGATAAGTATGAAAGAGACTTACCGTAGATGATATTTGTGTGAGAGATGGCTCTATGAAGTTGAGATCATGATCTACAGAGGCGTCGACAGATTCTAAACTGATAATATCACTTAGGAGGTTGTCCATCTACCAAAAAACACAACATTTCACATCATAGTTTTTCAGATATTTAATAACCTTAATTAATTTCAACACACTCAAAATGGTCTGTGCCAAGATAAACAATATCTACCAAACAATTTAAACATTATATCAGGAAATGTTTACCCATACTCCCTTTTTGTCCTCGCAAAAAAAATCTTTTTCTATAAAGTATCTAATTAGCTCAATACTACAAAGATGAAAAGAATAAAATTTGATCTTCTCGGTAAATCTTGATTTTCTATCCAGTAATTTTTTCACCCTTAATTAATGAAATCTGAAATATATCACTTACATCAGAAACACTGGTAGCAGAACTGCATAGTCCCATGGACAGTGGACTGTCCGGGTCAACCACTGGTGCACTCCCGCTAAGGCCTAGATCATTGGTGTTAATGGTCATCGTGGAAATATTGGGAAGAGATTGTACTGCCGCCGAACTGTCCAGGGACTTACTCAGGAATGCCTGGATCTGTCGTTTTTTGCTCTCCTGTACATGGAACTGGGTGGGATTCTTCAGTTTGGTTTGAACCTGTAAAATTATTCCAGAATTTCAACATGCATATTTAACAATTATCAAAGTTTATAAATGAACAGAATTTAAATCAAAGAGCATATTTAATAAACAAATGGTAATCTGGCAAGAATATCATATGTATTATCATTAATATTATTGTTACATTCTTAACAGCCCGTCAACACATAAAAGGTCATTAAGGCCATCAAACGGTAAAAATATCATATGTAACAGAATCGTTCGATCGATAACTGAATCAGTAGATCAATTAATCAATCAATTTCATCTGAAAGCAAACAAAAATCAATACATTGTTTTTAAAATCACAGAATCGGTACCAGTATTAAAAAAAATCCTTCTATATTAAAATAAAGTATCATGTGAATGGTACAAATACACTTTCATGAATGAGAATTTCTATGAGGAATGCTTAGTCTTACAAAGTAAATTATTTAGGGAAAGTTTATAATTATGTGAACAGATAGACTAAAAGGTTCCTTAAACAAGAAAGATATCAATTATTTTGTATGTAAGCTATTCAGACTTCTCACAAACGAAAATTGAGACTGAGACAGGAAATGATGTATGCTACAGCCCGATTCCCTTGGGATTCCTTAAACAACTTTCACTGGACCAGCCATCAGTCACTCCCTTTAAATCTGTGGGGCTAAATTATATTTTATGTACTAAATACTGCATATCACCATGTCCAGACTGTCAACTCCCTGGGTCATAATAGATTAGCCAAAAACTATTGAGAGGACAAATCCATTGTGGTTTTTCAGGGGGAGGAGGAGTTGAACCTGATACTGCTCATCTGACAGAGAGTGGAAGTGTGTATTTCCTCAAACACTTGGATAAGGACAATTTTCTTCTGTTAAATTGTCACCTCTAAATGATGAGGATTGGGGACAGGGAGACATTTGAACTTTTTTATCCCTTAATGATACAGGCTGTTGACTTTAACTTTTCACTTACAGTATGTACTTGATAATGTGTACATACATATATAAACTGATACTTATCCTTGGAATTTTTGCCTTTGACAAAAAAACATTCTTTGTAAATATATCTTTATAATTCTATGCAATATGGAAGAACTTAAATACACATTTTAACATTTTATACCTTCATTTTTGTTGGAATTTATTTAAATTCTAGCAAACTGAAATTCAGGTTTGATAAATTTTTAAACATAGAATATCTAAAGCAATGAAATAAACAAGAAAGCCGAAAAAATATGTTATATATATGACCTTGACCTGGTGAAGTCCCAGGGATTACACAACAATCCTGAAGCATCAGCCGTGTTGTGTAATGCTAAGTAAAATTACTTTAAACTAAAGATGCAAAATCGGTCAACAACCTCTACAAAGGGAATAAACGCAAGAATCAGATGTGGTATGCTGTCTTTGTGTTTCATCATATCTTATATTAAACTTGTTTCATAACACTTCATGCCAGGGCAAAAAAATTATATCAAATTTAACAGATAATAATCTATTTCCTTACCTCAAAACATTAAAAAAGTTACAGTCATGATGCATTTAGAAAATTATGCATGAACTATTTTCTTTAATAAATTTCATTTGCACAATGTTTATAGATATAGCTACAAAACTGATATAACTAATGTATTCATATAAAGTCTTACAAGCATAAGAAAACATTTGCTTTTTTCATTCTATTTTATAACAATAAAATCTTTTCACATCAAAACGCACTTCACTAAGGTACATATTTATTAGTGTACCTGAAATAAAATATGAAAATTTGAAAATCGGTAAATGAGAAATATGACTTAAAGGTAAAATTATGGCCCATAGACACAGTAAATCACAGTTTCCATCTCATCTCCCAGTTTTGTTCATTTAAAATATGACTGAAATCAAAAGTTCAATTTTGGCTCCTAACAATACCAAATTCTTGTTTCCACATAAAGTTTTTTGAAAAATTGAAAGCAACCTAAATTGATACAAAAACTGTACATGAATCCAATTCTATCAGAGTTTAAACTAAACAAACAGATGCTTAGTAAGTGAAACAAAATTCAACATTTGCATGTAAACTGTCATGATTGCAAAAAGAAGTTTTGACATGAACAGACCAGTTAATCTGTAGATTTGATTGAAAAAGATTCAGGACATATCAAATTGTCCATCAAGTGAGAATATACGACAATGTGTTACTGATGGGAACATTTATTCGATATCTTAGTATTACAGTCACTATGTTTCAAATTTGTGCCTGTAATACGGGTTCACAAGTGTAAATGCTTACAACAATTTGATGTGATCTAATTTTTTACATCATGTTGTAAACTGAAAGATCCCAGTTTCCTTTTCTTTTCACAAGTACAAAGGGTAAAGTACATCTTCGTTTTTCCTTAAAATAATGTCTTTTTTTATATAAACTTAGAAGTTGTTTGAAAGCTGGTAATATATTTTTAATTTGAATGGCTTTTTGTCTCCCCAAGGATTTCAATACAACTTGAGTTAACTTAAAAAAATCTACGTGCACTTACCTTGAGGATTTGAACTGGGACTTCGCTGGAGTTGAGGGACTGGGACAAGGGGACTTGGATGACCTGAGGTTTGGTGGAGGAGACAGGACGATGGGACTGTGATAAGTGAGATATATCTTTCTCCCTCTCTACCTCCTCGGCCAGTTGCGCACGCTGAAGCTGCAACCTCAGGTTTGCCCGAAGAGGCATGTTCACATGTTTCAGTTCTACCTTCGGGCTGTAAATGGAAAAAAAAGTTTGGTTTTAGAACTTCGGGCTGTAATGGAAAAAAAAGTTTGGTTTTTTTTAATCTCAATTGATTCAGAACATCAAAAATAGCATTACAAAGAATGACTGGGATATACAGAGCACTTTCCTCCCCAAGGTCTCTATCTGAAGATTTACATTTTCTGAAATGTTACCATTATCATTTTTTCCTTTCCTTTCACTGCATTGAGCAAAATGGGTCACTTTGTTCAGTTTTGCATGGAGGCCAATAAACCATCACCTTTAGATGAAAGAGATTTAGCTGAACCTGCTTAAGTTTTGTAAAAGGAACTAGATAATTCAGTATTCATTTTGTACACCACACAAATTTGAAAAAGAAGCATCATATTCACCCATAACTATACACCTGGAGAGCATTCACACCAATTTCTGACATCTTATATCTTGTGAGCCTTATGTTGGTGTGTTTCTCATTTCTAACAGGTATTCAAAGTGTGTCAGTGATGAAATACATGTACAATTCCTTGTCTTCATTGATACTGGCATTCCTACATTATGTTGAAGATAAATGATCACTCCCCCGGACGCACAACTGAGATAATCGCTGCTCCTCAGGTTTGTACAGACAAGGTTAAAGGTCAGACCTTGATAGTAGGATCAATCGCATTACCCCATTTATCAGATAGGGAGATAGAATTATTTAGAGCATGTTGCCACAACTATAACGAAAAATTTGCATATTGTTCTCACACTGTGGGTGCCCCTAGAATATTAATTGATGTTTAACCAATATATTTTGATAATGTCCCTTTGATCAAGTTATAATTCTTTCAGAACCAAATCAGCAAAGAGAATGCATGATCCTGTAAACGAAAGAATTGTTTGGCCTCTTATAGTATTTCTCTGCTATCTAGTGTAGACAATATTAAGATTAGATTAAACCATCCACATACGACAAACTTAACACATACAAGCCTGTCAAGACCCAATTCTGATAGGATGTACAGTCTATTGGCAAACCTTTGTATTAAAGGTTTTCATTATCATTATATCAAGTGCAAACCTTAAACTCTATTTTTTTCAAAATGTATAAAAAAAATTATCATGGGATGATCATACTGGTATATGATGTTAACTGGTGACATTTATGTGGGGATGAAAAGCGGACTAAAAATTTTATACTCTCGTCCTTTACTATCAACTCAAATCTTCACAATACAACTAAATATTTTAAGGGAACAATAAACAAGGCAAAAAGTATCAAAATGCCATCCTCCATGATAAATGTAACATCTAAGCAATGTCAGGGGGAATATGTAGGTCAAGTGGCCTATATATAGTAAATGCTGGTTTCATTGACCTATTTATGAAAGCTATGAAAAGAAATGCACCGATATATCATAATGCAGTGAATCACAGATGACATGATACTGTATCTGACCATCAGAGTGAATTTAAATGCAGACATTGATGTTATGATACTATGTTGAAGGGTTCGTGAAATATTTAGGGCACAATCTTTTTCCCATCAATCAATCTAGTGAAACAAGTAGAGTAATCAAATTCAGTATAATCTAACAATCGCAGTAACCAAAATCATTCAATAAAGTAGACTATCAAAAAGCAGACTAAAAAAAGTCAATCAAAAGGAACATGTTGAGCATTCTAATTCACAAAATTGGAACATGATTAAACCTAGAATGATGACATGTCAGTTATGATCCTTTTTGTAATGTCCCACTGTATAGTGTCTCTTCATTTAAATTAAAGCTTTGATTGTTACAATGAGATAAAATCAGTGATGAATTAGAATGTTGACAGTGATGAATTAGAATGTTGACAAAGACATCAAAGTCATTATATGCCTATTTGTATCTTTTTCATCATTCTAGTTCAAAATGGCGCTACAAAGTATCAACTTGTGAAAGAATTTAATGAAACTTTGACTATGAATCCATTGACCTTTAACCTTGATTAGGCACTTCCTTATTTGGTTTTGGTCAAATTTGCTTCATAATTTTACAAACACCAAATAACTACCAGAATTACATTCAAATATGACTTTGTGATCTAACTTCTAGTCCAGTTTCTTCTCATTTGATTCTAGTCAACTTTGCTTAAAATTTCATAACAATATTTGAAATCTGACCACGACATTTTACCTTTAGACCTTGACTTGTAGTGAGGTGACTTCACTTTTGATATTGGTCAACTTTGCATCATGATGTAAAAGCACAATAGTTACCACTAAAATATTTAAAATTTGACCAGGTAGCCTCTGTCCTGTAGTCTGCCAATTTCTCATTTGATTCTGACCCTTTTTGCTTCATGACATCAGAAGAAATATTTTCCAGTAAAACTGGAATAAATTTTACCTTGATCTTTGACCTGCATGATGACCTTGATCTGTGGTCAGGTGACTTCTCATTTGATTTCAGTCAATTATGCTCCATTATGTCATATAAGTAAATACTTACCAATAACATTAGAAAATTCTTTACATGTCATAAAGATTAAGTCAAGTTTGGTCAAGATCCAAATTATAGTTTGGGAGAAAAGTGCCATAGACCCTTAGAACCAAAGATTAAGCAAACTCAAACGTGGGTCAGTAAAAGAAAAATAATTGGTTGATATGAAAGGAGGACAGTTTCAAAGGCATAAATGTATATTTTTTAACTTCCTGTTATACCTCATGTGTCTCATTCCTCTGCCTCGTGCAGCTTCAAATCAAATTTATTCCCATATACCAAAGGCTGCTCAAAAGCAATTGGTTAAAGACCTGCTCCCGAATGAAGATTTTAAACATCCTGTTTTCCCCTTTTATCAGTCCTGTAACTTCTGCCTAAAAAGTTCTACATCCAAAATCACTGCCATTCACTAAAGGTCATGTTCAAAATCAAATTGGTTAAAATTAGTCAAGCCCTTCCCTCCACCAAAAGTTGCTTCTCATAATGAAAATTCTGATGGTTTAGTCAAGCCCTTCCCTCCACTAGGAAGTCGCTTGTCACAATGAAAATTCGAATGGTTTAGTCAAGCCCTTCTCTACACCAAAAGTCACTTCTAACAATGAAAATTCTGATGGTTTAGTCAAGCCCTTCTCTCCACTAGGAAGTCGCTTGTCACAATGAAAATTCGGATGGTTTAGTCAAGCCCTTCCCTCCACTAGGAAGTCGCTTGTCACAATGAAAATTCTGATGGTTTAGTCAAGCCCTTCCCTCCACTAGGAAGTCGCTTGTCACAATGAAAATTCGAATGGTTTAGTCAAGCCCTTCCCTCCACTAGAAAGTCACTTCTTACAATGAAAATTCTGTTGGTTTAGTCAAGCCCTTCCCTACACCAAAAGTCGCTTCTAACAATGAAATTTCTAATGGTTTAATCAAGCCCTTAACTACTAACAATGAAAATTCTAATGGTTTAATCAAGCCCTTAACTTCTAACAATGAAATTTCTAATGGTTTAATCAAGCCCTTAACTACTAACAATGAAAATTCTGTAGATTTAGTCAAGCCCTCTCCTCCACTAGAAAGTCACTTCTCACAATCTTTGGTCTATACACCTAAGGATGCTACAGAAAAGGACAGCTGAATATATATGCTCACTAGCGACAAAATACTGATCTCTCTGGTCACATGATAATGACCAAAACTAGTGTATTATGAGGCCATCAAGATATCCTGATTATCTACAAACATTTAATGTACTTAAAAAGATAATCATTCTGATGGGAGTTTTAAAGATAATGAAAAAGGTTCAAGCAATTCATTTCTCTGCAATTACAAAAACAACAAAGTGAATTTCAATGTTTCAATCAAGTTAGCCAAGATGACCTAAGGGTTCTTCTGATCATGTTTGAGAAACAACTAACCTTATGATTTTGCAGCTGAGGATAATTCTATACCTTTTCACATGCTATTGGACAATATAATCAAACCTTTCACCTTTTGTATAAACAACCACTTTCCCTCAGGGAAAGAGGGTTACAACTGCATCCTTTCCAATCACCCAACAAAATTTTTGAATTTGTTGCCTTGTCTTTCGACCAAATTCACTCATATTTTACTACTAAATGAATAAAGTGCATGAAATTATAGTCATATAAGTAGCAAGCATCACAAATTGAGACAGAAGGTCACATACTGCTTTAACTACACTATGGACAAGACGTCTCTAATTTCATTGACTTAATCTGCTACATTACTAAAATCAGCTGACTTTAAACATTTCTTTGTAAAATACAATTTTTTGCTCTCCTCATTTTCAATGAAAAGAACAACCCTTAAATAATCCCCTTCATACTTACGGATAATTCATAAATTGACAGTAGTCGTTAGTTAGCTCTGCCAAATAAGCCAGATGACGAAGCGGATTTTCCCACATTATGTCTTGGTACCAAAACTGTTCCATTGAAGCTTTTGTTCCCCTATCAATATGTGTTCCTTGCTTTTAGGTGGTTTTATACTATTTGATGTGTAATATTTTCAAAAAAAAATATTTACATCAAGTAAAAATTCTTGTATTTGAAAATAAGCCTAAAAATTCCTATACTGTAAACTGAAGAGTGCTTTATTCCAAAACATCAAAATGAATTGGTGATTTTATTCATAAAGCAAGAATTTGCAGTTAAATTGCAGTTAAATTGAAAAATAAGTCTGAGCTATGTGGAAAAATCTTCTAATCACTATATCAATTCAGTCTTCTTAAATTTGCATTGCTTGCAAATTTCCAGAAATTTTGTTTTCCAAAAACAAAAACTGCAAACAAAATGTAATTCACAAAACTATCTGCAACTACAAAAGTTCTGTCAAGTCCCAATGATTTGACTTTGAAGCGTATGCCTTTTAGTACGTCCAGCACTTCCTTATTACAATTGTCTGTGCAGGCAACAGATGACAATGTCCATTGAAGGAAGTGAATTTCTGCAGAATTTGTGCAAATAATTCATAAATGTAATTATGTCTAAATATTCCACTAACAGCGTTACACATACAACAGACTTTAGGAAACATGACC